AGATGACCCATTGTGTAGCTTTGTGCTTAACTTCAAACAAACAAACAAATAAACCGTTATTCCTCAGTGTGTTGAAATCCAGATTTGGCTTGTTTGTACGATCATTTTACGTTAATCCCCACTACATAGAAAGCCAGATTTAAGTAATTTCTTGTTAAAGTCAGATAGGAATAAGAATATAAATATTTCTCATTGTATTCGATAAGCTTGAGGAATTGTTTGTGGAGCTCTTGGAGCGTCGTGTTTTCTAGAATTTGAACGTTTCACGTTTATCATTCTACCGAGTCGTATTTACCATCTCTTGCCTTAATACCAGCTTTATTTCAGGGCTTAAAATTGCTCGTTTACTCCAACGTTTAGAGTAGAAATGATTAAGTTTATCTTGTGTGTTTCAATTTGCTTCCTGTTTATGGAACAATTCGTTATTTACCATCTCTTGCCTTAACACCAGCTTTATTTCAGGGCTTAAAATTGCTCGTTTACTCCAACGTTTAGAGTAGAAATGATTAATTTATCTTGTGTGTTTCAATTTGCTTCCTGTTTATGGAACAATTCGTTATTTCCTAGTCTGAAGTTTTACACATAACGTGTAATCATTTTGAAGTTCCTATGAAATAGCATCAGTGACATGCAACTAAACAAGTTAGAGGTAATCGTATATTACAACACAGTGTTATTTCTGTTAAAATATCTCCTTAACAGAGTCCCTCTACTGGTCCGGTTTGGCTCTAACTTAGTTGCTACTATACTGAAGCTTATAAGAAAGTAACAGTGAGTTGTAGAACCTGAAATCTGTATATTTCAGTGTTTGTGTTTCACATTTTTAGTTTGAAAAATAAATCAGAGGGAATATTTTACGTTTTATTCAATAATCGGTTTTGTATTTTTCCATTTCGTTTTAAAAATAAGATATTCTATGGTTTTCTTTTTCTTTTGGAATATATTTAGTTTGTACAGTGAAAGACAACGACGTGTATTGGGATATCTAGTTTGTACAGTGCAGGAGAACGAGGTGTGTTCAGATATATTTAGTCTATACAGAGGAGGACAAAAACCTGAGTGAGTTTGGGATACCTCTAATCTGTACAGAGGAAGAGAACGACGTGTGTTTAAAAATCAGTAAAAATAGACCTTGAAACTAATTTAACTTTGTACGTGAACTATTGCAGTGAAGGAACTATTACTGTAAGGGTAAAATCACATCAAGTACATGTAAATAAATGGTTTTTTAAAAAAAGAAGGGAATAATGGAGCGATAAAAACCACCTAAAACTGATATGTTAAGTCTGTTTATTTTAATGGCATTATTCTCTCGGCTGTTCTGGCTGTTAGGTTTGCTGTACTGACTAATCATACTGCTAGATGTTTATGCCGAACCAGAACACGTTTAACGAATGAAAGTCTAGAATTGGTACAGAAAGTTGGTATGGATTTTCTTGAAAATCCTCTATTCTGACCGTGGGGGAAGGGGATAGTTACTAAGTAGTCACGGTAATACGAGCTTTCAGAAAACATCGAAATCTAACAGTTAGGTTAAGATAGATTTTCCTCTTTAATACAGCATTTAACCATGTCGTCATTAGCAATTGTGATGATTTAAAAACCTTGTCGAG